ACAGAGATATGGGTCATTTTACAAAATTGGTACAAAAAGAGTTAGTCCATTTGCAAGCAGGGAGTATATATTCAAACTACTGGATGCATTTACTTCTATCTGCCACCTAGTGCTCTCCTTGGCAAACTCTTAAGTCTGCTGTTATACTAAACAAATAAACCAGGTAGCAAAATTGAGGACACACATCTGGAGCAAGTCCAGAGATTTAACTTTTTTTTTTTTTACAGACAAAACAAGTATTAGTGAAATTTGGAAAGTGAATTTTGGTCCAAAACTTTCTCAAATGGAAATACTTCAGAATTTTCTTGTAAGAGAAAAAAATATTGCTCCTATAAGAAGTACTTTCCAGAGGCAGACTCCATCTTCACAGTGTTCTGGCATCACTAGGGACCAGCCAAATTGCTGGCTTTCCTGTATAAAATCCCTAAAGGGATTTCAGACAAGACAGACAGAAATATCACTGTCAGACTTTCATAGTAACTGCTCCCGATGGCAAACTAAGTCCAGTAAGGGAAACAAAGAAGAATATCATCACAAACCCCGCCCAAACATGAACCCAAAGACTCAAAGGAGAGACTTTTGCCATGTCAAAACAAATACAAGAGACAAAATAGCTTCTTTGATATTAATAAACTCATACAAACAGGTCAGTTTAACAGAACTTGTGATTTGTGGAAGAACAGTCAGAAGACAGTAGAGAAAAACATGTGGGGGGGAAACACTGTCTTTCTTTTTTCTGTTGCTAACTTGGATTTACTAGGGGCAAGAAGACAATTCCATATTGGAACTATAAATCAAGGTATAGGCGTACCCTTGCTCTGACCCCACCATAGACCTGTTTGAGTTGGATGAAGAAATATAAAAAAGAAAAACTACACTCACCTAGTAAAAACATAAAAAATTGTTGTAATTTATGACTCAAATAAAACTTAGAAACTTATCAGTAGAACCAGCCATATGGTAGAGCTATTCACATATTATTAACAAACATTACAGTTGATTCATACATTTTGAGAGGGTTTTCTCCCTAATTTTTCTTCCATGTCTTTAACACTAACCTACATTTTCTTCCAAATAATCTTTGTAAAATCCACTATATAAAATAAACCACACTGCATTTCCTGCAGATTTTGCAGTATTTAATAGCATAATATAAAGTTTTGTACAATTAATCTGCTAGCAACGTGTAGCTACTTCAAAGGAAAACAAACTTAGGAAAGCATACAAACACTTTATGTAAAGTGTAATCCATTATCATACCATTTGAGAGAATGATTTGGGGTTTTCTTCTCACTCATCTGGATCTTACAGGTACACTGCAGCCAAAGAAAACGGTGATTTTATTAATGGTCCTTGCAGGACTGCCTGAGTGTAAGACATTCCAAACAGGGGCAAACTAAACTTGGATTATTTTACAAAGTTTCGTTAACAAACCACATAAGAATGCAACATCAGCTTCCTCTCCTCCTGACAGTGACTTTTAACATGCCAGCTCAACCAAGAAGTTGATCACGGTGGCTGTGATGAAAACTACCTAATTTCTTGATGCACAAGATCACTTTTCTGATAAATATTGCCAACTTCCAGTATTTTTTTTAAGCGCTCTAAACAATGACAGCACAAGAATCAATTAAAGGGCAAAGTTCTTTACTGATTGAAGATCAGTACATTTGGTACTGTAACTTAGAAAGTCCACACAATTGTATATATCAAGTATACACATGAGCCAGGGCACAGGTGATGTCTTTGGGCACTTAATTTCTACGTTTCCATGTTGAGTATCAAAAGGAGCAGAAAGACTTTGAGAGCATGATACATTTGTTCTCAAAAGTAAGAAAAAACTAAAAAGAAAGAAACTGTCAGTTTCTTCTTGTTCACTCTTACATAGCACAGCTATTGTTCCTTCCAGCACCTCCCTCAAGTTCCAGTGCAGACAACCCTGCAGACTTCAAGAAATTACCTTCCCAGAAATTGTAAATCTACCAGCCACCAAGGGAAAATATAAATAGATGATTAAGCAGATGGACCTATTCAGGAGGGTAAGTCAACTAACAGTAATGACAACACCAAGCTTCCTGTAAAAGGAAGAGGAAAGGGAGAGCTCCTTCTACGCATCTCCAAGAATGACAGCAATGCCACAGAAACTATGTAAAAAAAAAAATCAATACAACACAACCACTGAGCTGGAAGCTGAAGACCAGCTTTAAGCACAGGTGAGACATTAAATCACTGACTGGTACTACTTGTGGTAAAATGTCACAATTAAATTACAAATCCTATCCTAGTCCGATTTTTCTTTGAAAAATTAATCAGAGTAATTGAGTTATTTCTTTCAGGGTCTTTAAATGCATACCATCTCTCCTAGGTAATATTACCTTTGTAATAAAGCTTAGGACTCCACTGAAAGTAATTCTTCTGTTAAAGCTCAAAATGAAATAATGATATTTCAACATGATGTACGTTAAAAAACTGGAAATTTTCATTACCAACACTAACTTACGGACTGCCCATCACAAAAGTATCAGATGCCTCTACACCTATATTATGGTACCACATATCTTTACAGACATGGAAAATGTAAGGATTTTGGCCATGTACCTAAACACCCAGTGGTTCAAGGTACTGGGCAACAACTCCTGTTCCTCATCCCTCGTTCTCTAATAACCAGCGTTGTCAATAAATTTTGGCTTCTACAAACCTAAGACCTTATCATTACTCAAAATGATCTGGAAGCAATACTAAAGCCATGACAAAGTAAATTGTGTTTCATTGGGTTTTTTTCCCCTCCTCTGGCTGTGAGAACATACAGATCAATACTCTTCAGCATGAGAATTCTACAGCGAAATTTTCATTTGTTACAAACAGCAACAAAAGGGCCCCAAGCATGCCCTGTCACTTCCAGTTTAGAAAGAAACGCACTAATAAACTCTTCCCCCTGGGTCATTTTTGACAATGGGCAATACTATGCCAGCTCTTATTAAAGGCAATTCGTATCAGTGGCCCAAAAATTTCCTTTAAAATTATCATCTTTTGTATCCATGTAGCAGGATGTCAGCTTTAAAGTGCCACTGAGATATAGGACCTGTCATTATGGTTAATTTTCAGTACAGTTTTAACACCAGGGTAGCTGATCCCTAAGGGTATGTTTTTTTGGCTAACAAGATTTATTTAGTGGTTATCCAGACAAACAAGAAAATATATTACTGTATATTGCTTTTCAAATATAACAGCAAGCAATAAATCCCACTATAAAACATAAATCTTTGTTCTCTACCATGATGTCAAATATATAGAAATGTTTTTAGAAGATTAATCTTTTTCTTTTTTTTTTTTTTTAATTATATATTAAAAAAAAAACCCTTAAAATTCTTGGGCTTCCAATACAAAAAGCACACAAAAAGTAAAATTTAACTTAGAATATTAAACCTATACAGCTGTTGAACATATCGGTAGATATCAAGCTTATGTTTTGAGCCGTAAAGATGATATTCTCTATCAAATGACCCAAGCTTTTCAGCAGAAAAATACACTGCATTGAAAAAGAGAGTACTATGAAGTTTGATATTGTTATTCCATTTTTTGAGAGGAACAGTGGTTTAAACACCATTTTATTGCCCTATTATAATAAGGGGGAAAAAAGAGAACTTCATGTATTGGATAAATATACCCATTTGCCCTGCTTTTCTAACAACAAAACAGAGAGTCTGTTTTCGTGCTGTAACGGGAATAATTTCATTGTATTAGGATGAAGACCGTCTTGCACTTTGCTAGAGAAGAAGTACATCTACAGAACAAAAAAAAGCTGTTAACATATTGTCTAAATCCTCATACGGTCAGCAAAGCCCATTTTTATTGATGTTATATAGAAGGCATAAAACCTAGTTGACCTCAATCAACCGGTCTCCCAGGGAAAAGACCTCTGCCAGCAAATGCCAGATACCAAATATCTTAAGAGCATTTCCTATACTACTTTTATTTCTACTGAGGACAAACTTCCTTTCCCTGTCCTGGCCTCAGATGCAGTGGCTGACTCCCAGATGCCGATTGACCAAAGAGCCAACTGCTGGAATGATGAGTCAAGCGAGAGCCCACCATGTGCCCGACCCCTGCATCTACCTGGCCAAAACAGCCCCCACACCAGGCAGCAGCATCACAGACAGATTTTGTATACCACTTCTTTTTCCCCACTTCAAAAACATTAAGCCTCATCACAACTAAGAGTCAAATGGGCAATTTTGCAGGTGACACAATTAGGCAAGGAGAGACTTTATAGCTTATCCCAGGCCAAACAGCAAGTGACTCTTGGAAGCAAGAACTGAACTCCTATATTTAACCATATCCTTTGCCAGTCAGGTGACATGCTTCCAGAACACAAAATGCAGAAATAAATGACCAACCCAACATTGCCACACACAAACTATGGTTGCACCCCAGCAGGCTTCTGAAGTAATTGCAACAAAAAAGTGTTTCAAGTGGAAAAAAAGAAAAAGTTTTTCATTTTCTTCCTCCTACTTCAGAGGCTGGGAATCATTATAGAACATCTCCATAATGTTCTCAGTCCTTGGGTAGGTGAAAGTTTACAACTATTTTTATATACCTGTCTCCCAGGTAACAGAACAATGTATTATTATTTGCTGTACTACCAGTCTGCTCAAGGTAACAGGTTTTAAAAGGGAATGTTAAGAAACTACAGTGGATTCTCTCATACCTGTAAAAATATTGAGGAAAAGTTAAACAGTTTTCACCTTAAGTTCAACAAACAGCATGCACAGAAAAGCATTATGACATGTTACACACATCACAGGATCAGAGATTTTTTTACACAGATGCATTCTATGGAAAGCAATTGTAAGTAGTTTTGCGAACCAGTCTTCATTTTATCACAATTTCAGAAGCTTCACAGGGCTACGTTTGTATGATCATTTCAGATCAAGGCATCTGTAGGCCAAATAAAATTAAGAGCATTTAACTTAATAAAATGAAAACAATTAAAACTTTACCTCGAACAATAAGTTGAGCAAAATTTGACACTCCTGAACCTCTCTCTGACTGAGTTACACAGCGGTATAAATCCTGGTCGGTTTTTGTCACCTCTTGCAACTTAAAGGTAGCAGCAAATCTTCTGTGATTGATATTTTTAGTCTGAGCAACTGGAATATCTTCCCCGTTTCTTCTCTGAAAATAACAGAAACCAAGGCAGAGTTATCTTGTAAGAATACAAAGATATTTATCATGATAATCATACAAACAGTACATAAAAACACCAAATGCATCTGCCCTGTGCTGCACTTCCATGGTAGAAGAGCTCAGCGCTGAGGTCCCATCAAGAGACAAGCAGTACTCAGAAGCATTTCAGAATCAAGTTTGGGGGTGACAAGCATCAGGCTTTCGCACTGCCACAAAACATGACCATGACATACCCAACCGCTGTTGCTTCATAGCTGGAATGACAGAAGATCCCAGCAGTAGCAGTTGTACTCCTAAGAAAATTCATTCAATTTTAAATAAAATTATAACAGATACACTGGGTGTATTGTTAGAAATATCTAAACAAACCTGGCATTGAGGTATTTCATAGGTTTCCAACCGCTCTTTTTCAGTAACCAGCCAAGGTTTCCTTTTTAATGCTCCCTTTTTTCTACCCAAATTCAATACCTTCTGAAATTGTACCTTTGTTATACTAAGCACCACCTATCTACGTAAAGCTGGTTGAAATAAAAAGAGGAGAGAATGAAGCTGCTAAAAGAGGAATGATGTAGATCTCATTTTAAGGAAGGAGCTTAAAGAGTTCTGAAAAAATCATAGCTACCACAAATCACTGAAAAATTTAATCTGTCTGGAGCTGCGGGGCAGTGTGAGAGGTCAGTAAGGTAGAAACAGTTTGAGCTCTTTTGTGACCCTTTTCCCTTATTCCCATTCATATTAAATGCTGAATTTTTATTTTAATCGAAGAACAGATCTTCCATCAAAAGTTAGCATTAAAAAAAAAATTACAGAAACATGCACCAAGTGAAGAAATTATGTTCCTGCTCTCTCCCGTGGATCAACTGCATGTTATTCCCTGACCAGAACACAGTTTCTGAGCACTCAGCTTTGCTCAGTCACCAGTAAGACATCTCCTTGTAACTGCATCGCCTGCTCTGCTTGATATGTAGCAAAACGTGACCTCCATGGACATTTTTAGCTCTACTCAACCCCTGGAATGGGAAACCTCATTGAGGTCTTAAACTCCAAGCTTTCTGTCTAACACAAGAAGCGGCACTGCTGAGCCACAAAATTTAATAACCTGAAAGCCTATGGCAAAAATAGAAAAGGGAGAAAAAGGAAATGAGTTAATGCTGCACGTGTATATTAGCCAGCCTCCTGTCACAGACAGGAGTACTTCATAATACTCAAACACTTCATTTTACAACTACCTTTTGCGATTTTAGCACAGCTTAGTCACTCTCTAAACAGTTCTGTGATGGGCTAGCTTGGGGTTCAACACTGCTGCAAACTCACTGTAACAAGTATTCATTTTAACTATTAGTATGTTTAAATAGAAGAATTTTAGCTTCTGCCATCTTTCTGGCACCAAAGCACCCTTCCCACACTGTTCACCGTAAGCCGTGGGGTAAAAATGTTCATTTATACCAAACTTGGCAGATTTCAAGTTCTTTCAGTCGCTGGTATTCCAATGCAAAGACCACACCATCGCTTTTACCAACAGCAGGTTTATTGGTGTGACGACTCCTCGTTTCACGAAGATACCACCCATTCCCGCCTGGCCCCAGCCAGCCTTTTTTCCCAGGACATCAGAAACAGCAGGGAGCTGCTACCCAGGGGTAAACTCAGCCGGTGGGGCCGGGTCAGAAACTACAGTGAGATGATAAGAGTGAAAACAGATCTCCAAAAGACGACAGCACATGAGACGCTTCCCAAAGTTACTCGCGCTGCTCCTCCCTAAATCACAGTCACCACCCCGTAACTGTCAAAAGCCTGCTTATCACGCGGATGCTGTCTGAAGGGATGTTCACAGAGCAAAAGAAACAGCAACGGAGGCTGGGAACTTGGAAACCCGGATCCACCTCAGCGCAGCCGAGTTGCCCTGTGGGCAGGCACAGCCTCCCTCCTCAGCTCTGCGAGTATCTGCCTCCTATTAAGAAGAATTAAGGAAGTTTGCTGACGCCTGCAGAGACTCCTACGACTGAAAGGCGTTATTGAACTTCAGGGATCAATGAAATTATTAAATTCCAATACCACACAAATGAGGGGTGATGTTAAAGGGTTTATTTTGATGCTTCTTAAGCTGCAGTAGAATTATTTTGTAGGAGGTGCACCACCCCCTCCTCTTAGCTGGCTTCTCCTGATAGCAAAAGCTAAATCTGAAAGCAGGATTTTCAAGCTATATTCCCCTCCCCTCCTCAGTTTTGACCAGAAGCTTCAACTCTCTGGAATGATAACTTAATTTAAGACTTGGATATGGTGCCTTGAAGTAACCAAATTAAACAAACCTCATGGTACTTTCTCCCCCTTGTGCTTGCTGTGCCCTCTCACAGCACGTGCTCTCATCGCTACACCACACCACAGCCAGCAAAGGGAAGTTAAGCTCCCCCACTAAAAAAAACCTTGCCATATAATTGTTAAAATGACCAAGCAGCATATAATAAACAGAAGGCGTATTGTTAAAAGTTATATGACAGCAGACTTGACAAGTAACCCACGTAATGCAGTCATTCTTGCTCTATGAAGGGAAAAATAAATATTAAGAGTTTTCTAACATGAAGGAATCTCTTCAATAAGTCCAGTGCTTTAAATTTGAATGCCAAGCACCCAGTCTGCAGCAGAGAAGCACATCCGAGGTTGCTGTGTAAAATAATTTACCCTCCAAAGCTCAGAACTTGCTTACTTAAGCTTGTCTGCATGCTTCACGTTGAGAAACAGAGTTGGGCTTCTACTTTAAATGAAATATTAATGCACTTTCACAGCAATTAATCAAAATGAAATTTAACAAGCTTTATTGTTCTACTCCAACAACAAAACCTAGGATTTTTCTTTTCTATTTACATTAGTGATTTGCTAGCACTTTATCTTACAAGGCTTAGAGTAGTTGCTCAAATTTCCCTGTATTAGGGTTTGTTTCTTGGGAATCCAACTGCACAATTACATCTTCAAAGTCTATCTTCATTATCCATTAAAATATTTTTCCATCATTAAAATGATGAAAAGTTCAAACAGAAGAGTGTTCTCAAAAATGAATGTTAAGGAAAATACCCTGCATTCATTGTGGCACATATCCCTTACACCGATAAGCCATTAGCCAGTCAGAGTTCAGATGCGTTGCCATGATTTCTTAATTAAATTCTTCTTTTTAATGTCAGAGCATTACTACTGATTTTAAAGGAGAGGACAGAAAGGCAGCAGTGCTCTCTCTGCTTATTAGACGGTTCCTGGTACATACTGTTTCAATTTATGTCCTGCTCACACTGAACAGAGCTTGAAAATGCTGCTCAATTAGGTTTTAAAAATTCAATTTAAAATTAATGTGGAGTTATACTAATAGGCAATGGCTGTACCCTGTGCAATCTTTGGTTCCTCCAGTCCCTTGCTGTCTGATTTGATAACCCTGAATTGCTCATTTAGAAGAGGTCACAACCAGGCAGTTCTCCTTTGTGAAAATAACTGTGGGCTTCACAAAGAGCTACACTCTATAAACACTTGATTAAAAGAAATGTAAGCATGTGGAAAAACCTCCTTAATTCTGGCATTCCAGGCATTTAAAATTATGACCTTAAACAAGTCTTTATGACTTCAAGGTTATTTTTAATTTGATAGGAACATGATTTTATTAATTTTATTTTTCAGGCAATGAAATGAAATCATCTATATTTTCAACAAAGTCAACAGTAAAGTCTACGCAGCTTAAAAAACAATCATAGGCAAATTAACAATTAGCCTTAAATTTCTCTCTTCCGCCTCATGAAAGAAATCAAACATTTAATAAACATGAAATGAAATTTTAGTGGATCTTCCAGGAGAACCTGAATGGAACCAGAAGCATCTAAACCCCAACATCTTATTTAATTGGTAGAACTTAGGTGCATTTCCAATTTTCTAATACAAATTTACAATGTATCTGCATTTCTCTCTCAGCTTTTCAGGTTGAAAAGTGGTGTTTTCTGCTTTTTTGTTTAAACAGCAATAAGGTACCATAACTTTCTGTGGCGATGTTCCCTCTAAATTTTCCTGAACCCTTTTTTTTTTTTTTTCATACCACTGATTTTTATCAGCCTGGACAGCTCAACCTTACACATCCCCAACCCTTTCTTAGCATAAACACCTTAAAATAAGTCTGCTCCACCGCTAATAGTTACAGTCAACTCTGGTTGCCTTCTCAGGCTCTCAGCTGGACGCCGCGATGCCTCCTGAGAGCAGAAGATGTCAACACTTCAGCTACAGTGACACACGCATTACTCTGGCGGCAGCGCCCACTTCAGCTGGCCCCCGCTCGCTCCCTCCTCACCTTCACTCCTGTGCTCATACAGAAAACTGACCTGGAATTAAAAAAAAAAAAAAAAAAAAAAAAAAAAGCCTTCCTGGAAAATATACTCCCTCCCCCATATATTATCATCACCAAACAGATTAGCTCATGACTGGATTCACTGCGTGGCCACGGGGAGCAGAGGAGAGGGCAGGATCCGTGCTGGGAGCAGGGTGAAAGCCGAGAGTTTGTCTAAGACACTTGGTTCCCAACGGTGAGATGAAAAACTTCACCGGACAGCACAAGGGCTAGAAGGATGCCCCCAGCAGCCCGGGGAATTTCCCTACTGCTGCCCTGAGGAAAAGGGAATTTGTAAATAACGTACTCCAGAATTTTTGCAGTTTTACTCATTGTATAAAGGGAGAAATGTCATTTTTTGTGAGAGGGAAAAGGGCTGAATGGGGATAGTTTGAATGCCAGTAATAACGCACAATCTCTGCCAGAAGATGTTTTTGAAAAATAAAATAACATGAGGAGAATAAATGACACAAATAACGATACTTCTAAAATTTTCCTTACATGTAGCTGTCTCGCACTTTTCAGCACGCACAGCATATGCTTTTACAGCATGTCAGCCAAAATTTCCAAATGGAGAAAAATCTTTCTAAAAAAAATTTCTTCATTATTTTTATTTTATTTTATTCTTTTACACAAA